GTTGGAAGTGATCTGTACAACTTGGAGGTGGGAAGGGTGGAGGGAAGGAAAATAGGGGGAAAAATTAAGGAAAGGGTAACAAGTTTGACAAGAAATGTACTTATTACCTTACTTATGTAACTATAACCCCTCTGAAAATCACTTTGACAATTAAAAAAAAAGAGTCACTAAAAAAAAGAAAGAAAAGAAACCTGGGGGCTCTTGCAGTAACTATATTAACAGAAGGGGAGGACACTGAGTATGTCATATATGGTGGAATTCTCAGCAGAAGCTCTAGGTTTTAGAAGCAGTTATTTTGTCAATGATGATTTGGGTTAAAAAAGCCTTGAAAAGATCATTTGATTTCCTGTTACAAGCTCAAAATATTCCATTCCTATTTGTATATGTAATATTACCAGTTATTGTGTTTCAGCTTGTTTATAAAACATTATTAATAAAGACATAAAAATAAGAAAATTTAAAAATAAAACTAATGAGAGCTGGGGGCTGGGGGCTTACACCTATAATCCTCGCTACTCAAGAGGCTGAGGTCTGAGGATCTCGGTTCAAAGACAGCAAGGGCAGGAACATCTATGAGACTCTTATCTCTGATTAAACCACCAGAGAGGGCTGGAAGGTGGCTCAGTGGAAGGGTGCTTGCCTTGCATGCATGAGGCCTTGGGTTTGATTCCTCAGTACCACATAAGCAGAAAAAGCTGGAAGTGGCGCTGTGGTTCAGTGGTAGAGCATGCACCTTGAGCTGAAGAGCTCAGGTACAGTGAGTGCCCTGGCCCAAAGTTCAATCCCCACAACCCCTTCCAAAAAAAAACCTGAGATTATTAGTTGGAGATATTTTTCTTTCCAAGTTTTATTCCCTACAAAAGTCTACAAAATTATGTATTGAATAAAAAAGTAGCCAATATGCAAAATTCCTTTTTATTTTTATTGTTAAAAAAGTAATTAGAATGCTTATCTAACAAATCTTCAGCAGTTATTTAACAAATCACTAGATAGGTGATGTGTTTAGCAGGAAGGTTTTCAGTCGTTAAAAAAATAATCTGATTTTTAAGAAAAGCAAAAACACTTTGCCGCCCAGCTGGCCTTGGGCCACAGTTCTGTTCAGCTTCCTGAGGAACTAGAATTACAGGGTGAGCTATAAGCTCATAAGTTTTGAGGAATACTGATAGGGTATTTTATAGGATATCCCTTATCTGCAGTTTATGTGATGTTTTTGTCATGATTAAACTAGATATAGATTTGAGGAGGAAGGTAGAGTACCATTTTTCATCCCATTATAACAAAATAACTTATCATTGTAGATGTTATCCTTGATCATCTGGCTGAGGTAATGTAGGTCAGTTTTCTCTAGTGTAAAGTTACTTTTATCTCTTCTCCCATGGTACTCATTGGAATAAAGACATATGTGTGGTCCATGCTTGGAATTGGTCCTATTGATTGTTTTATACAAACTTGCAAAACTGATTCAGCAGGGAAAATAGTCTTTTCTGGAAGACTTGGATGTCCCTATGCTAATTAAAGCTTTAAAATTGGATATCCTTGAGCAAAGAAGAATCTTGATTCATACCACATACAAAAACATACAGAACTTTGCCAGGAGTCAGTAGCTCAAGAGGTTGAGATCAAAGATCATAGTTTGACTCCAGCCTAAGGAAAACTGTCCATGAGACTCTTACCTCCAACTAACCAGCAAAAAGCTGAGCTAGAGACATGGTGCAAATAGAGAACTCCAGCTGAAGCAAGAAAGCTGAGCAAAAGCTGGGCATCCATGGTGCATGCCTGTAATTCCAGCTACTCAGGAGGCTGAGATCTGAGAATTACAGTTCAAAGCCAGCAGGAAAGTCCATGAGACTCTTATCTCCAATTAACTACAGAAAGGAAAGTCTGTGAGACCCTTATTCCCCAATTAACCACCAAAAAAGTCAGAAGTAGAGCTGTGGCTCAAGTGGTAGAGTGCTACCCTTGAGTAAAAAGAGCTCAGGGACAGTGCCCAGGTCTTCAGTTCAAGACCAGGACTGGCATGCAGGGGGCGGGGGGAGGGGGAAAAGGTGAAGGAGAATGCTGAAGAAGGTTGGTCTGACCAAGGCATATTGCATGTATATATGAACATGTCAAAATGAAACCCAGTTTTGTAACTAATTGATGCTAATAAAAAAATTTTTACCGGGCTGGGAAGGTGGCTCAGTGGTAGAGCGCTTGCCTTGCATGCCTGAGGCCCTGAGTTCGATTCCTCAGCACCACATAAGCAAAAAGAAAAAAGCCGGAAGTGGCGCTGTGGCTCAAGTGGTAGAGTGCTAGCCTTGAGCTGAAGAGCTGAGGGACAGCGCCCAGGCCCAGAGTTCATGCCCCAGGACCGGACCCAAAAAAAAAAAAAAAGAACTTTATCTGTTTTGCCCAGCTTTCTAGTATCTGAGTCTTTCAGTGGCAGAAAATGCATAATCCCCAGCAGTTAATACAATGTCTAAAACAGTCACACTAAATACTAGAAAGTTGAATAAGTAGAATGAGTCACACAACTAGTATTATCTCTTAACCAAACACTAAAAAAAAAAGTCTGCACATTACCAAGAAAACTAACAATATATTTCCCAAACCAAAAGGACTGAATTCCTAATCTTATTATGATTACACTTAAAACAATATTACCCTAAAGGTAATAACTACATATCCATGGGATCAGTAAATAGGCAATGTTCCTTGGAAAAATCAAAATGGGAACACAGCAACAGACATACTTTGGTATCCTATCTACTTTTCACATCTATACTAACTATGTGGCTTACATGGGGAAAGATGATCTTCAAAAAGATCAGACTTCAATACTCCTACATAGAATGTTCAACATATGCCCTCAAATTTTGGAATAATTCACTTAATCCTTTCCAATAAATAGTACAATGTTCATCAGAAAATAGTTCATGGAAAGAGCAGGAAAAAAAAAAGCCCAAGTACAGATTTCAGTACTTATAAGTCTTAACAGTCAAAAAGCTTCCAAAATCTCATCAACAACCAAACCTCTAATTCAGTCACTATGAATGCATTAGTATTTCTCCTAGTTTTTAATCTAAAACTTTTCAATAAGTTGAAATAATTACAATGAACTTATGTTCCATCTAAATTCAGTAATCATTAACATTTTCTCCTTCTCCATATTCATTACCATGTGCATTTAGGTACTTGTGCATTAGGCTACAGATACTCAAATATACGTTGCACACACATCAAGATACTTCATCCCTAAATATTTCATCAGGCATTTCCTAAATATAAATATTAGCTACTACAGACCTATATACCTATCATGCTAAGAAAAAACTCTCTAATACCACCTAATATCCAAACCTTTTATGCTTTTCCAACTTAAAAAAAAAAGTCTTTTCTTTTTTTTTTTTTTTTGGGGGGGGGCGGGCGGTCCGGTCATGGGGCCTAAACTCTGGGCCTGGGAGCTGTCCCTCATCTCTTCAGCAAGGCTAGCACTCTACCACTTGAGCCACAGTGCCACTTCCGGCTTTTTTCTTTTTTGCTTATGTGGTGCTAAGGAATCAAACCCAGGGCCTCATGCATGCAAGGCAAGCACTCTACCACTGAGCCACCTTCCCAGCCCCCAATAAAAGGTCTTTCTTAAGCAGCTTTCTAGAACCAGGATTCAAGCAAAGTTCATTTCACAAGTTTTAAAAATACTGTACTGGGTTATCATGGTGACTCATGTCTATAATACAGTACTTGGGAAGCTAATACAGAAGGATCCAAGCTCCAATCCAAGGAAAAATTGCATTTAGTGATGTCACCTTAATTTTTTTTTCATCCACAACAGTCATCCGTTTTTCTTCCGTTTTTAAGAAGACCAAAATGCAGACACACCTCAATTCTAAATAAACCTATTTTGTCTACACAACAACATTTATAACTATTAATAATCTTTTCTGAGCCGGGCACTGGTGGCTCACGCCTGTAATCCTAGCCACTCAGGAGGCTGAGATCTGAGGATCGCAGTTCAAAGCCAGCCCGGGCAGGAGAGACCATGAGACTCCTATCTCCAATAAACCACCAGAAAACCGGAAGTGGCGCTGTAGCTCAAGTGGTAGAGCGCTCGCTTTGAGCTGAAGAGCTGAGGGACAGCGCCCAGGCCACAGAGTTCAAGCCCCACGACCGACAAAAAAAAATAATAATAATAATCTTGTCTGAACCAATTAATATACAGCAGGTCATAATAAACTAATAATTTTTCTAATTCTGGCATTCTTTCTACATTTATTAACTATTATTCTTCTATAAGAATTTTCCTTTATCAAATGGAAATAAACCTCATGTCTTCCTGAAAAGCCACAGCAAGTACTTAATTTCCTTCCTATTAATTACCAGATTTTTTAGTACAAAGGTATGACAGCCAACTGCAACATAGCAAATCAGGGAATTTTCTTACCATTATGAACCCAATAATTTGTATTTATTAAGCTAGCACACAATTATAATATTCCAGATGTATAATTATACTTAATTTCTTATACATGGACAAACTAAAGTAGGCAAAGGAAGCATTTAAAGATGACCACTGGCAGCCAGACACTGGTGGCTCAAGCCTATAATCCTAGCTACTCAGGAGACAACAATCTGAGAGTCACAGATGGAAGCCAACTCAGGGAGAAAAGTCTGAGACTCTTACCTACAATTAATCACCAAAAAGCCAGAAATGGAGCTGTGGCTCAAGTAATAAGTAGAGTGCTAGCTTGGAGCACAAACACTCAGGCACAGTGCCCAAGCCCTGAGTTCAAGCCCTAAGACCAGCATTAAAAAAAAAAATGGCCACTAGCAAAAGATAATAAATGGGACAATACATAAATTAAAATCACATTTTCCTATTATTATCTTCACTACATGTCACAAGTACACGCTCAACTACTGGATCCTTGTACTGCTTCTATCATTTTTGTTATATTTTAAAACAATAATTTTTGAAAAAAATGAATAAAGCCAATCAAATGTTAAAATTCAAAATAACTCACCTGTTGAACAGGACTGTCAACCGTGAAAGCTTTATAAACGGCCATTGCCTGGCTTTTACTCCCCTTGCTCCAGATAACCATATTTCCAGCCACATAGAGCTCTTCATCATAGTCCGCTTCTTCTCCAATTTCACTTACGCCTTTCCTCAACTGCCAGTTTTCCTTAAAAATTAATACATGTGTAAGACATGTTCAAGCACTTCTTTTTTTCTTCTTCAACCCTAGGGAGCAAGATTTATTTAGCCATGGAATAAGACTCAATCCAAGCCCAACTCTTAGATGGTCTGATGCATTGATTAACAAAACATATTATGTTTTGTTATGGGCATATTATCTTGCAAAACAAGAACTTACTCAAGAACTGTGCATATTAAATGCTCCATATCAAATTTCCATAAAATATTTCTTAAATCATCATCTCTACGGATTAAAAAAAGAAAATCACATGCTTGTAACTAAAAAGACATAGTAAGTCTATTTAGAAAACAGAGTTGTGAACAAGGAAATCAGTGGAGGAATTATGTACAGTATAGACTTCGCTGCTTCCCAGGTGTATATATGCTAACTCTCTTTCCCTTATCCAATCCAGAAATTAATGGAAGAGAGAAAAGTCTCCATTCCCAACTGCATGTATTTTTCTTTCTTATTTTGTGGTACTGGGGCTTGAACTCGGGACCTCAAGCTTGCTATTGCTCAACACTTGGGCTGTACCTCCAGCCCTGTTTTTCACTGGTTATTTTCCAGATAAGATCTCATAAACTTTTCAACCTGGGCTGAATAGCCTCAAACCAAGTTCCTCCTACTCTCACCCTCCTAAGTAGTTAGATTTCTGGGCATGAGCTATTTACACCAGGCTATGATTTCTTTTCTTTTCTTTTTGGTAGGCCGTGGGGCTTGAACTCTGGGCCTGGGCACTGTCCCTCAGCTCTTCAGCGCAAGGCCAGCGCTCTACCACTTGAGCTACAGCGCCACTTCTGATTTTCTGGTGGTTTATTGGAGATAGGAGTCTAACGGTCTCTCTGGGCTGGCTTTGAACCGCGATCCTCAGATCTCAGCCTCCTGAGTAGCTAGGATTAGGCGTGAGCCACCAGCGCCTGGCCAGGCTATGATTTCTAATAATATACATTTCATCTAATTACTTATAAGAGGGGAGGATTGTTATTCAAGGCTAGCCCAAGTATAAAAGTTCATGAGATTCCATCTCAACCAATGACTCGGCATAGTGGCAAGTACGCATCATTGCAGTAACACAGGAAAGCACAGTAAGAGAATCACACTCTAGACCAAACCACGCATAAAAGATCCTATTTCAAATATAATCAATTCGAAAAGGGTCTGGAAGAGCGGTTCAAGTGGTAGAGCGGTTCAAGTGGTAGAGTTCTACCTACACTAAAGCAGGAGGCCCTGAATTCAAACCCTACTCATGTCAAAAATAAGTAACTACTACCATATTCCAGAAACAGTAAGTAATGCCTGCCTATAATTCCAGCACTAAGGAGGCTCAGACAGATAATGAGTCTGAGCTCTGGGATACAGTACACAGCAAGATCCTGCCTTAAAAAAAAAAATAAAGGAAAAAAGAAATTATCCTACTGTGGTACAGTGGCACATGCCTCTACTCCCAAAAGGATCTGAAGTATGAGGCCAGCCTGACCTACCTGACAAGACCTTATCTCAGGCTGAGAGTACAACACAAGTGATAGAGTGCCTGCCTAAGAAGACCCTATCTCAAAAGAACTACTACTGCTACCTTCTTATATGACATTTCTGTCCTACTCTAGAAATATGCAAGGATTTTACAGAAGAGAGAATGTCTATTCTCTACCATTTAACCATCAAACATCAACATGAAATCTGGTCCTACATAGGAAATGAAGAGAAATAGGTTTAAAATGAATCATAATCCTAACATGAAACTTGACTCTCATTATAAAACCACAAGTTGTAGAGTATGTCAAAATAAGCAACCCAAACAATGTTTTACAATAATCATTATTTTAGTATTGATTCAAATTAGTAAACCCTAACTTTACTCTAAAGTAGTATTATGATTATTCCTTATTTGTAACGGGGTAGTCTTAACAAGAAAACTGTATTACTCTACATTTCAAAAACAAAGGCGATATTAATAGAACCTTCTGTTTTTCGTGGATTGTAACCTCTTGAAGAGATCCAACCAAACCAGCAGCGCCATCAGAAGACCATAATTCAGAGGCTGGCTGTAGCTGACGAAGCTGGAGGTTCAAAGCATTAGGGTGGTGCTTGCAGTGGTCTCGACCGAAAGGAACAAATTCCTGCAAATCCCCGGCTGCAATCATCGTTGCCCTTTCTTCATAGAAGTTCGACATGGGTTCCAAATATCAACATTATTTCTGCATAAATTCAAACACATTCTGGTCAAACTTTAGAATCCAAACCCATTTATTACTACAAAGATGTGGGCGGGTTGCGGCAGAAACACACCATTCTACCTCCCCATCGTTTCTACAGCTACATACATTAATATATAATATGGTATGTGAGATGATGTTTGTTCTGAGGACACATCTACAATATAAAGTTTTAATGGCATTACATGTAAGCTGCAATCCTCAAACACAGAAATATAACATTTGAATTCAACACATCAACACGAGCAAAAACAAGAACCACACGATCATTTCAATAGATGCATAAAAAGCATTTGACAAGATCCAATACCCCTTTATGATAAAAGCTCTGGAGAAGCTAGGAATTCATGGAACATTCCTGAATATAATAAAGGCTGTGCCGGGCACTGGTGGCTCACACCTGTAATCCTAGCTGCTCAGGAGGCTGAAAGCTGATGATCGCAGTTCAAAGCCAGCCCAGGAAAAGTCTGTGAAACTCTTTTTTTTTTTTTTGGGGGGGGGTCTGGTCGTGGGGCCTAAGCGCTGTCCCTCAGCTCTTCAGCTCAAGGCTAGCGCTCTACCACTTGAGCCACAGCGCCACTTCCG